AGCACTTTGGGAGGCTGAGGCGGGCGGATCACAAGGTCGAGATCTAGACCATCCTGGCCAAAATGGTGAAACCCCATCTCTACTAAAAATACAAAAATTAGCTGGGCATGGTGGCGCGTGCCTGTAGTCCAACCTACTCGGGAGGCTAAGACAGGAGAATTGCTTGAATCCAGGAGGCGGAGGTTGCAGTGAGCCAAGATCGTGCCACTGCACTCCAGCCTGGCACCTGGAGATAGAGCGAGACTCTGTCTCAAAAAAAAAAAAAAAAGAAAAGAAAAGACCAGCCTAGCCAACATGGTAAAACCTGGTCTCTACTAAAAATACAAAAAATTAGCTGGGCATGGCAGCAGGAACCTGTAATCTCAGCCACTCAGGAGGCTGAGGCAGGAGAATCTCTGGTACCCAGGAGGCAGAGATTGCAGTGAGCCGAGATCACACTACACTCCAGCATAGGAGACAGAGCGAGACTTCGTCTCAAACACAAAAAACACCCATGCACACCACCTGACACTCAAGACACTGAGACAAACATATTCACTGCACCACATGCAAACACACAATGTGTGACACACCGACAAAAGAGACACTTATCCTGCAGACACATCTTTCACCAGAGACACGGAAACATGAGAGAAACACGTCAAACACGCTCAGCAAACACAGCACCTGCAGCACACAGCTCAGCACCACACAGAAATGCAGACACAGACCCGCGCCCTACACCTGCCACACTCACAGAACACACCTCATCCTTCAGACACACACACACACCCTCTGACACACAGAAACACCGAGAGGCCCTCACTCTGAAACCACAGACACCTTCCACCAGACACACAGAAACAGCACTTACACAACCTGCAACATGCACATGTGTCACCAGAGCTGACTGGATACTGAGACATGTGCCCATCACCTGACACACAGAAGTGCACCCATTCTACAAGTGGACAGCATACACAGCACCCACGCCCTGCTAAGCACAGAGGCGGGCACCCACCCTAAAATGCAGGCACTGGGCTAGAAACAGATCATGAGGCCCAGCGTGATGGACCACACCTGGCATCCCCACACTCTGGGAAGCCAAGGCAGGAGGCACACTTGAGCACAGGAGTTCGCTCGTATTTGTGGTTTTCCACCCTGCAAATCCACACACAGACATGCCACCAGGCACACAGAAACACCAAGACAGGCACACACAGTGGGAACATGTCCACTCCTCCACGCAGCGGAATGCCAAGGCCGCTGGCAGTACTGAAATTCATCTCAGCCCTGGGCTCCAGGGAAACGGTGCTCACTGAGAAATTGCCCCTTCCTTTGTGTTCTGAGAGACGGTGAGTCTGAGACTTTGCCCTCATGCATTCCAAGACCTCACCTCCAGCCTTCTGCAGGGGTCTCTTATTTACCAGCCCCCTCCTTCCTCATTGGTGAATTTTCTGCCCATTGCAGTAGCCTGAATAAAGTCATCTCCTTATGTCTCTAGTTCATCCCCCTGCAGTCTTTGTGCCCTGACACGGCACGGGTTGGACTTACCTTTCCATCCCCGATGACTGCAACCAGGTGGTGACCTCTCTCTGAGACCCGCAAGCTGCCCCTGACTGGAAGAGACCTTCACTGAGTTCGAATCTGGTCGTGTGCTCCTGCCTTTTGCCCATTGGTAGCATAGTGACAATTTTATTTTGATTCTATTTCATGGTCTGACCATTTGGTGATCTCTTTAAACAGATTGATGGTTTATAGAGGTCTTGTATCTGTTGGGTGAGAGACGACAGTGTGTGGTTTGAGTGTTTTCTGGGCCGGGTGCGGTGGCTCATGCCTGTAATCCCAGCATTTTGGGAGGCCGAGGCGGGCAGATCACCCGAGGTTAGGAGTTCAAGACTAGCCTGGCCAACATGATGAAACCCCATCTTAAAAAAAAAAGAGACAGTCTTTTCTGTTTGTTTATTTGAGTTTAGTTAAAAATTAGGGCCGAGATTGGTGGCTCACACCTGTAATACCCGTGCTTTGGGAGGCTGAGGTAAAAGGATCACTTGAGGCTCAGAATTCAAAACCAGCCTGGACAACATAGCAATCCCCCATCTCTTAAAAAAATTAAAAATTTAGCCAGGCATGGTGGTGGTGTACATCTGTAGTCCCAGCTACTCCAGAGGACGAGGTGGGAGGATCCCTTGAGCCAGGAGTTTGAGACACACCACTGTACTCCAGCCTGGGTGACAGAACAAGACCCTGTCTCTAAAACAATCCAAGAATTTGTACCCAGTGAGAAGATGGGTTGGAGATGTGGTCAGCCACGTACATGGGCGGAGTTGTGTTTTCATGAAGCCTTCATTTAGGTGGGTTGGATTGGCTGTCATATGCACAGGTAAGTGACACACCCAACAGTTATTATGCCTGAACACTGGCCTGTTCCTTAGGCGGGGCTCACATGCAGATGACTGGTAAAGCCTCCTGAGAGGGCCGTGGGATCAGGGCTAGGGTCAGGAGGGCAGAGGTTAGGGCTAGGATTAGGAGGGCCACCTGCAAGAGTCCAAAACAAGTTAGTGAACTGTAGTGGTTGGGCTGCCAGGGAGGAAGAGGAGGAGTGGGAAGGGTGGGAGGAAGCCCTTTGACAGGAGTACAGCAGGTCGACCAGGCTGGAGCGCAGTGGCTATTCAGAGGCGCGATGCCCATACTGACACGCTCCATTTCCCACGGGGACAGGCTCCCCGCTCCATAGGTGGCCTAGTGGCAGAGGCCACGATACTGATGCTGGCTTCTGTGCGGACCTGGATGGGCACAGCGCCCTACAGCGCCAAACTCCGGGTCGCGCGATTCTCCCGCCTCAGCCTCCGGAGCAGCTGGGACCGCAGGCAAGCGGGGCGCCGGCCCTTGGAGCTCAGAACCGCCCTTAGGACTGACTGCCTCGGGTACCTGGCAGCCAGCGGCTGGGGGACATGGGATCATGCTGCCATCTGGTGGCTGGATCGGTAGTTGCTTCTTTTTCTTTTTCTTTCTTTTTTTTTTTTTGAGGTACGGCCTCACTCCGGCCCAAGCTGGACTGCAGTCACTCAACAATAGCTCATTGCAGCTTCCACCTCCCTGGCTCAAAACAATGGCTCATTGCAGCTTCCATCATCCCACCTCAGAGCGCTGAGATTACAGCTTTGAGCCACCCCAACAGGCCGGTAGCACCTTTTTTTTTTTTTTTTTGAGACAAAGTCTCACTCTGTCACAGGCTGGAGTGCAGTGGCACATTCTCGGCTCACTGTAACCTCTACGTCCTGGGTTCAAGGAATTCCCTGATTCAGCTCTCTGAGTAGCTGGGATTACAGGTGCCTACCACCACGCCCAGCTAATTTTTTTTTTGGTATTTTTAGTAGACATGGGGTTTCGCCATGTTAGCCAGGCTGGTCTTGAACTCCTGACCTCAGGTGATCCACCCGCCTTGGCCTCCCAAAGTGCTGGGATTACAGGCTGAGCCACCATGCCCGGCTTTTTTTTTTTTTTTTTTTTTGAGACAGAGTCTCACTGTATTGCCCAGGTTGGAGTGTAGTGGCACGATCTTCGCTCACTGCAACCTCCACCTGCCAGGTTCAAGCGATTCTCCTGCCTGACCCTCCTCAGTAGCTGGGATCACAGGCATGTGCCACCACACCCAGCTAATTTTTGTGCTTTTAGTAGAGACAGGGTTTCACCATCTTGGCCAGGCTGGTCTTGAACTCCTGACCTCAAGTGATCTGCCTGCCTCCGGCTCTGAAAGTGCTGGGATTACAGGCATGAGCCACTGTGCCCGGCTGGTAGCATCTTTGAAGAGCCTAAACAAGTGTGGGTAACAGCCTGGGGGAACTTCAGCCCAGTTCTTTTTGTGCTGCCCAGTGGGGCCTGCTACAGGGATGTGGTGTCCCAGGCCCAGATTATCCCCCCAAACTAGGTATAGCCAGGTGAGGAAAGCCAGAAATCAACCATAAATACTGTGCAGTTCCATATATGTGGAGTATCTAGAGGAGTCAAATTCATAAAGACAAGCCAGGCATGCTGGCTCACGCCTGTAATCTCAGCATTTTGGAAAGCCAAGGCTAGTGGATCACCTGAGGTCAGGAGTTCGAGACCAGCCTGGCCAACATGGTGAGACCCCCCCCCATCTCTACTAAAAATACAAAAAGTAGCTGGGCGTGGTGGTGCGTGCCTGTAATCCCAGCTACTTAGGAGGCTGAGGGAGGAGAATCACTTGGACCCAGGAGATGGAGGTTGTAGTGAACTGAGATTGCGCCACTGTCATGCCACTACACTCCAGCCTGGGCGACGAGTGTAACTTTGTCTCAAAGAAAACAAACAAACAAGCAAACAAAAACCACAAAAAATTAGCTGGGAGTGGTGATACGTGCCTATAATCCCAGCTACTCAGGAGGCTGAGGTAGGAGAATTGCTTGAACCTGGGAGGCACAGGTTGCAGTGAGCTGAGATCACGCCACTGTACTTAAGGCTGGTACATAGAGTAAGACTCCATCTAAAAAAAAAAAAAGAAAAAGAAAAAAACAATTGTAGAAACAGAAGATGAGACCTTGGTTGCCAGGGGCTGGGAGGGAGGAGAATCAGTGTTTTTTTTTTTTTTTTTTTTTGAGACAGAGTTTCGCTCTTGTTACCCAGGCTGGAGTGCAATGGCGTGATCTTGGCTCACCACAACCTCCGCCTCCTGGGTTCAGGCAATTCTCCTGCCTCAGCCTCCTGAGTAGCTGGGATTACAGGCACGCGCCACCATGCCCAGCTAATTTTTTGTATTTTTAGTAGAGACGGGGTTTCACCATGTTGACCAGGATGGTCTTGATCTCTTGACCTCGTGATCCACCCGCCTCAGCCTCCCAAAGTGCTGGGATTATAGGCTTGAGCCACCATGCCCAGCCTGAGAATCAGTGTTTAATGGGGGCAGAGTTTCAGTTTTGGGTGATGAAAAGATTCTAGAAATAGATGGCAGTGAATGTACTTAATGCCACTGAACTGTACACTTAAAAATGACTAAAATAGTGCTCACTTCGGCGGCACATTTACTAAAATCGGAACAATACAGACAAGATTCAGACGGCCGCTGACCAAGGACGACATGCAAATTCGTGAAGCGTTCCATATTTTGAAGTAGATCTATAGACCAATGGAACAGAACGGGGACCTCAGAAATAACGCCGCACATCTAAACCATCTGATCTTTGACAAAGCTGAAAAAAGCAGGCAATGGAAAAATGATTCCCGATTTAAATGAACGGTGCTGGGAAAACCGGCTAGCCACATGCAGAAAACAGAAACTGGACCCCTTCCTTACACCTTATATATACAAAAAATAACTCAAAGTCGATGAAAGACTTAACTGTAAAACCCAAAGCCATAAAAATTCTGGAAGAAAACCTAGGCAATACCATTCAGGACACAGGCATGGGCAAAGACTTCATGACTAAAACACCGAATACAATTGCAACACAAGCCAAAACTGACAAAAGAGATCTCATCAAACTAAAGAGCTTCTGCACAGCAAAAGCAACTATCCTTAGTGTGAACAGGCAACCTAGAGAATGGGAGAAAAGTTTTGCAATCTACCCATCTGACAAAGGTCCAATATCCAGAATCTACAAGGAACTTAAACAAATTTACAAGAAAAAAACAACCCCATCAAAAAGTGGGCAAAGGATATGAACAGACACTTCTCAAAAGAAGACATGTATGCGGCCAATAAACATAGGGAAAAAAGCTCATTACTGTTGGTCACTAGAGAAATGCAAATCAAAACCACAGTGAGATAACATCTCACGCCAGTTAGAATGGCGATTATTAAAAAGTCAGGAGACAACAGATGCTGGCGAGGCTGAGGAGAAATAGTGAGACTGAGTCTCACTCTGTCACCCAGGCTGTAGTGCAGTGGCGCAATCTTGGCTCACTGCAACCTCCACTGTTGGTGGGAGTGTAAATTAGTTCAACCATTGTGGAAGACAGTGTGGCGATTCCTCAAGGATCTAGAACCAAATACCATTTGACCCAGCAATCCCATTACTAGGTACATACCCAAAGGATTGTAAAACATTCTACTCTAACGACACATGCACATGTATGCTTACTGCAGCACTATTCACACTAGCAAAGACTTGGAACCAACCCAAATGCCCATCAGTGATAGACTGGATAAAGAAACTGTGGCACATACACACCATGAGAATTCTAGTGGGTGTTTTCTCCCAACACTGTAAATATTTCACTCCACTCTGTTTTCATGGTTTTTGTGAAGAAGTCTAATGGAAGTCTTATCCTTGCCTTTTCCTCCTCTGGCTTCTTTCAGGATTTTTTTCTTCATCTTGATTTTTTTTTGTAGTTCGAAAATATACCAGCCGGGCATGGTGGCTCACGCCTGTAATCCCAGCACTTTCAGAGGCCAAGGCAGGCAGATTACCTGAGGTCAGGAGTTTGAGACCAGCCTGGCCAACATGGCAAAACCCCGTATCTACTTAAAAAAAAATACAAAAATTAGCCAGGTGTGCTTGTGGGCACCTGTAATTCCAGCTACTTGGGAGGCTGAGGCAGGAGAATCACTTGAATCCGGGCAGCAGAGGTTGCAGTGAGCCAAGATTGCACCACTGCACTACAGCCTGGGTGACAGAGTGAGACTCAGTCTTGGGGAAAAAAAAAAAAAAAAGCAAGCAAATATACCCAAATGTAGGCTTTTTGGCCTTTATCCTTTTCTGGAGTTCTCTGAGCTTCCTGGATGGCAGCCTGTATCCCTGGGCTGTGATCGTCACAAACATTTCTGGGTTTTTTTTTCCACCTTAGGTGGGGCAGGACAGTTAGAGGGGGCTGGAGTTGGGCATTTCCCTTTTCCCAGGTTGCTAGGCTCTGATGAAATCCGAGTAGGTCAAAATTTAATAAAAGAGTTTATACTGAGGGGAGGCCATGTCAAGAGCAGAATGCTCTAGGTATGTTTCACTTCTTTTTCTTTTTTTCGTTTGCCATGCCCTTAGCATGGGTATGTTTCAAAATGGCTACCATTCTCCTTCTGCTGGAAGCACAAAGTGATTTTCTCTAATCTTCATCGTGAAAACCTAGTAGAGCTCATGGAGGTAAGATCACAAAACTGTGGGCTCCCCTAACAGGCCTGTGCCACCACACCCGGCTATTTTTTCTATTTTTAGTAGAGGTGGGGTTTTGCCATGTTGGCCAGGCTAGTCTCGAACTCCTGACCTCAAGTGATCTGCCTACCTCGGCCTTTCAAAGTGCTGGGATTACGGGTATGAGCCACCGCACCTGGCTTCCTTGGGGTTTTTAATCTTAGATCTGGCCAGAGGTGTAATGACAGTGTAGGTGTTGGTCCCAGCACTGGTGGCTGTGGAGGTTCCTGCTCGTGGGTCTGTACTCCAGGAATTTGTGGTTCTATCTGTATCCTCTTCTCTGTATCTCCAACTTGGGATGTGACACTTTGCTCTGCGGCCTCAATTCTCTAAGAGATCCAAGAGGAGTTGTTGATTTTCAGCTTGCTCAGATTTTTACTTGTTGTTAGATGGAGCTTTGAAGCTCCTTCCGTGCCAGTGCAGGGCCACTTTCCACATGCACCGTGCCACTGAACACCAAGGGTGTTTTTCTCCAACCCTGAGGATCAGAATGTTTGTTCTGACAGAGGCATGGGAGGCAGCAACTATAGAAGCATTTAAGCCTCATGGAGTCCCAGTGAGCCATCTGCTCTTAGGAGTATAGACCTAGGTGTGTCACATGGCTTTCCTTTTAAAACACGAATCCCAGCTGGTCAGGATGGTCTCCTGTTATGTCCCGACCAATATGCTTACTGGAAACATACCTGCTTGCTTCACCTGCAAAATACTAAGTCTAGGGGGATAGCCCTCAAGAGCTTTTTGGTTTACATCCCTAAGTTCCCACTGCATGCCTGTGCGACCCGCCCTCCATTGAAACTCTGGACACTAAGGCTTGGGTGAGCCTCTCTAGTTAGCAGCACTTTGCTTGTGTTGCCACACATTGTTGCTGGAAGAATTAATTGTGTCCCCATGCAGCTCCATGAGGAGGGGACACTTGGAAGCTTATGCCTGGTTTCCTCTGGACTTTGACCCATGGGCCTCTTCCCTCTGCTGATTTTAATCTGTATCTTTCACTGTAACAAACCATAACTGTTCTGAGTCTTATGAGTCCTTCTAGCGAATTGTCAAGCTTGAAGGTGGACTAGGGGACCCTGACACAATGTCATAACTCGATGGGGATAAGTGTGAGCCGGAGCAGCAGTTCTCATGGATCCTCTGAAGTGCTGCGGCAGAGCAACGTGCAAAGGGGTGTCTCTGCTCCCAGCTGTGGTGGGGGACTACCAAAGCCAGAAAGCTAGGAATCACCATGAGGTCGTGCCCTCATACTATTAGAATCAAGACAGTATCTCTGAGGAGGCCCCATAACCACCCCAAAAGCAAGTCTTTTAAAAAACTAATTAATTAATTTTTAAAGACAGGGTCTTGCTCTGTTATCTAGGCTGGAGTGCAGCGGCGTGATCAAAGCTCACTGTAGCCTTGAACTCCTGGGCTTAGAGTCAATTAAGAAACTACCATAGGCTGAGTGCGGTGGCTCATGCCTGTAATCCCAACACTTTGGGAGGCCAAGGAGGGCGGATCATGAAGTCAAGAGATCCAGACCATCCTGGCCAACGTGGTGAAACTCCGTCTCTACTAAAAATACAACAAATTAGCTGAGTGTGGTGGTGCGTGCCTGTAGTCTCAGCTACTCGGGAGGCTGAGGTAGTAGAATTGCTTGAATCCAGAAAACGGAAGTTGCAGTGAGCCGGGATCGTGTCACTGCACTCCAGCCTGGCGATAGAATGGGACTTGGTCTCAAAAAAAAAAAAGAAGCTACAACAATATAATAGGTCTAAAGGAACAGTGAGAAATACATTCAAGAGTGATTTAAAAGTTAAATGTAAAATACAGAAGCAAAAAAGAAGTTAAGGAAGAGGCTAAGTGCCAATGAAAACTATAATGAAACAAAATCTAATAGACCTTATTACACAGAATTAGAGAACCTCTGTGCATTGGCCGGGTGCAGTGGTTCATGTCTGTAATCCTAGCACTTTGGGAGGCCAAGGCAGGTGGATCACCTGAGGTCAGAAGTTTGAGACCGGCCTGGCCAACATGGTGGAACCCTGTCTCTATTAAAAATACAAAAATTAGCCAGGCATGGTGGTGCGTGCCTGTACTCACAGCTACTGAGGAGGCTGAGGCAGGAGAATCACTTGAACCTGGAGGCAGAGGCTACAGTGAGCCAAGATTGCACCATTGCACTCCAGCCTTGGCAATAGAGCGAGACTCTGTCTCAAAAAAAAAAAAAAACAAAAAGAAAAATCTCTGCGTATTAAAAATGCTGTAACAAAGACAGAAAATGTACATGCCAAAGGGATGTATGTGTGTGTTTATGCATCTGTGCGTGTATGTGTGTTTAAGCATCTGCATGTTTGTATGTGTGTGCTGTGTATGAAATAAACCAAAGAGAACAGTGGATGAAAGACAGAAACACACCACACATATGAAAAGAAACAAACGGCCAACAAGCAGGGACAAAGAACATTCTTAAAGCCTCAAAATGGCAAATACAAAAATGAAGGCAGGAATGATCCCATGCTGGCCAGGAAGTGGTGACAGAGGCATGTCAGAGCTGATGAGAACAGCTCCCAGTAGGTCCACCAGATCAGATTCCACCCAGAAACACCGACAAGCTTTGGTGTTCCTAACCTTCCGCTGGTAACTGCACTTCTCAGAATTGACTCAGAGGAAATGATACAGATGGTCACAGAGGCTTGTGTTAAATAATTATTTATAGGCACAAACAATCTCGATGTTCAAATAGTAAGGGAACAGATAAATGAAGATGCAGCTGTAAGATAGAAAACGATGCGGCCAGTTGTGTCTGGAAATATTTTATAACGTGGAAAATGCTTATCATAAAATGTTGACTGGAAAAGGATAAACATAATATGTAGAGTATGAATCTATTTTTTTTCTTCTGAGATGGAGTTTCACTCTTGTTGCCCAGGCTGGAGTACAATGGTGTGATGTAGGTTCACTGCAACCTCCGCCTCCTGGGTTCAAGCAATTCTCCTGCCTCAGCCTC